GGGGGGGGCTTTCCTGAATTGATATGGGGATTTAGAGCAAGCCTGGCTGTTAGGAATGGTGGGAGTTGCAGTCCAAAACTCCTGGAGGGCCCAACTTGGCCCCTGCCTCATTGAGAGCCTCCTCTTTGTGTGCCTGGGCTTCTAATAGGGGTTGCTTTTGCAATGGAGGCAGCAGCACACACCTCCAGCTGCAAAGCTTGCAAAGCTTACCTGGAACTGCCAGCCTGGGTTCCTTTTGCAAAGCAGGCGGCCGTTGCAAAGAGAATGCAAGAGGCAGAGCAGGCGTTCCTTTGGCCAGCAAGCAAAGAGCTTCAGTGGGAGGCGTCTAAAAGCCAACCTTCCTTCCTTCCTTCTCCCCCCCTTCTTTTGCTGGGAGGAAGTCGACGAATTACCGCTTCCGTTGGTACGTTTCAGGACATCAAGAAGAGGAGGAAGAGGAGGAGAGAGAGAGAGGGAGAAAAAGAGGGAGCGAGGAAGAAGGAGAAGAAGGAGGAGAGAAAGAGGCGTCTCTTCCTGGGAGGCATTGCTTGTTCCTAAGGGCAAAAACATAATCATTTACTACTACTATCATCCTAAATTCAATTGCAATTGGGAGGAAACCTCCCTGCTTTGCACACCAACGCCATTTGGAAAAAGAAGGATTGCAAAAAAGAGAGATCTCTCCCAATTTTGGATTTCCTGCATCCAGGTAAAGCAAGCCAAGCAAAAAAAAAGAGAGAAGGATTTTGAGGATTTGCATTTGAGGATTTACCAATTTATTTTGTTTGTTCCTGTTTTATTTTTTTTGTGTGACTGGTGCTCCATATTATTATTATTATTGTTTCTGGATTTTTATCTTTGCAAGGCCCAAGTGTTTATTTTTTTCTCCCCATTTGCTGTTGCTGGGATGGGTTAAATTGCAAAAAAAAAAGGAAGAAGGAGGACCTTGCAAAACGTGGTTTGTTTCTCTTTTTATTATTGCAATTATTTGGAATTTTTGGGGAGAGAAGAAAGGGCTTTTGGACCTTAATGTGCCCCAGAAAATAGGCAAAAAAGGAGGATATTTCCCCTTTATTTTCTCCCCATTTGGTGTTGCTGGAGTGGATTAATTGCAAAAAAAAGGAAGATCTTGCAAAACGTGGTTTATTATTATTAYTGTTTGGAATTTTTTTTTGGAGAGAAGAAAGGGCTTTTGGACRTTAARYTYCCCRAGAAAATAAGCAAAAAAAGGAGGATATTTACCCTATATTTTCTCCCCATTTGCTMTTGCTGGAGTGGATTAATTGCAAAAAAAAGGAACAAGAAGACCTTGCAAAACGTGGTTATTATTATTAATGTTTGGATTTTTTTTTTTTGAGAGAAGAAAGGGCTTTTGGACTTTAACGTACCCTTGAAAATAAGCAAAAAAGGAGGATATTTACTCTTTATTTTCTTCCCATTCACTGTTGCTGGAGTGGATTGATTGCAAAAAAAAAAAAAAAGGAAGAAGGAAGACCTTGCAAAACGTGGTTTATTATTATTACTCTTCGGAATTTTTGGGGAGAGAAGAAAGGGCTTTTGGACTTTAATGTGCACCAGAAAATAAGCAAAAAAGGAGGATATTTACCCTTTATTTTTTTCCCATTTGTTGTTGCTGGAGTGGATTAATATTCATTGCAAAAAAGGAACAAGAAGACTTTGCAAAACGTGGTTTGTTTCCCAAGTAGAAGGAAGACCTTGCAAAACGTGGTTTGTTTCTCTTTTTATTATTGCTATTATTTGGAATTTTTGGGGAGAGAAGAAAGGGCTTTTGGACCTTAATGTACCCTAGAAAATAAGCAAAAAAGGAGGATATTTACCATTTATTTTCTTCCCATTCACTGTTGCTGGAGTGGATTAATTGCAAAAAAAGGAAGAAGGAAGACCTTGCAAAACGTGGTTTGTTTCTCTTTATTATTGCTCTTATTTGGATTTTTTGGGGAGAGAAGCAAGGGCTTTTTGGATCTGAACGTGCCCTGGAATATAAGCAAAAAAAGGAGGATATTTACCCTCCTAAAAAAGAAGCAAATATCTGAATGGTTTCCTGTTTGATTTTGAGGCCCAGGACGGAGGAAGGACAGCATGGCGTGACCAGCATGGCTTGCAGTTTGTAATTTTATTATTACGAGATTGGATTATTATTATTATTTCTCTTCCGAAGCAACGAATGACCGGGCCTCATCGTTTGCAAATTTACCTTCCTTGTGGCTTCCAGACCAGGATGTGAACCAGGTGCATGGAGTAAAAACAAACCTAAAAGAAAAGGAGCAAAGGTGCTACTGTTTTGGGGATTTCTCATTTATTTCTTCCAGTTCTCTCGCCATTCCTTTTCTTGGGGTCGAACCCCAAGAACCCCTCAACCCTTTGGATAAAGAAAAGGAAGACGGTTCGCTTTCTCTATGCGGGGAGGAAGCTACGCTGATCCTTTCTGGGGAGGCTTCTGATGAAGAAGAGGCCGAAAATGGGGGATTTCTACGACCCCGAACATCCCACCCTCGAGTAAGTATTGCACAGGCACATACAACAGCTTCCCTGCGCATTTGGGGACCCCCCATAGGCTCCCCATGCAAATCCAGGGCTTCTTTATTGTGTCAGACACCGAACATACCATCCACAATCCATCTATGGGGCCCTACGGACACCCCATAGAGCTCGAGGACTGATTTAGGGCTTCCTTTAACATGCATCTGCCTGAAATCTCACACATTCTTCCCATGCGCTTCCAGGGACGATTTGGGGGTTTTGTGCCTGCATCAGATGCAGAGTACCCCATATTAAATCCCATCTGCAGGCCCCACAGACTCTCCATCCATATCAATACCTGCTTTTTTGGGGTTTTCGACCTACACCAAATCAAATACCCCATAAATATCCCATGCAACTTGACTATCCCATATTAAACCCATCTGCAGGCCCCATAGACCCTCAATGCAAATTAATATCTGCTTTTTGTGGGTTTCGACCTACACCAAATCAAATACCCCACAACTATCCCATGCAACTCAAGTATCCCATATTAAACCCATCTGCAGGCCCCACAGACTCCATGCAGATCAACATCTGCTTTTTGGGGTTTTCGACCAACACCAAATCAAATTCCCCACAGGTTTCCCATGCAACGTGAGGTCTACTTTATGCAGTTTCCCCATTTTAAATCAATCTGTGGGCCCCAATAAATCCCCCCATGCAGCAGATATTGAACACCCCATATCCAATCCATTTGCAAACCTTACAGTTTAACTTAAGTGGTTTTGGAGCAGTCCTGGGCAAACTTGGGCCCTCCAGGTGTTTTGGCTGTTAGGAATTGTGGGAGTTGGAGTCCAAAACTCCTGGA